AACTACAACAAAACGAAAAAGTTTTGGGCGAATACGTGATGTAGCTAAAGCGCTAAAAGTGAAACTCACGAAACAGGCTAGGACTGCCGTTGCAAACGTTTATCAGTGTTTTGAAAATATAACGGTTGAACAAAGAAATACAATTATTCGTAATTTTAATTCTATGCTGAATTGGGACGAGCAAAGTATGTATTTGGGTGGTCTAATATCCATACTTCCTGTAACTCAAAGAAGGCCAAGAAAAGATGAAGAGAATTGCAACGTAAGAGATGGCTCTTTTTATTACAGAATTCGCCTTGTGGTAACTAATGATGAGGGGCATACATCACCTGCAAAAGACGTTCAGGTTTGTCAAAGAGCTTTTGTTGCTCTTCATGGCATATCCACGAGAAGATTATAAGCTGTACAAAAAAGCCCTAAAACATGGTACAACCGCCAAGGACAATAGAGGTAAACATGGCTCAAGACCCAATAAATTGTCTGAAGAAACTATGCAGTTAATTTTAAATCACATAAAATCATTCAAAGGACGCATAAGTCACTACAGCCTAAAAAATCTAGCAGGAAGTACCTTCCAGAAGAACTTTACATTAAAAAGATGTACAAAATGTTCCTTGAGAAACATCCCAATAGAGCAGTGTGCTATGAAGTATATAGAAAAACATTCAACACACGCTTTAATATTTCCTTTGTGTATCCAAGAACCGACACTTGCAGCATTTGTGATGCTTCCAAAATAAAAATAAGGGAATGTGAAGATGAAAAATTAATTAATAAACTTAAAACAGGGCAGAAACTTCACTTGCTGAAAGCACAGACATTTTACAAACGAAAAACAAAAGCTAAACTACGAGCAACGATCTCAAGAGAATATGAAGTCATAGCCATGGACTATAATAAAAACCTTCCAATGCCTAATATTACAAGTAACGACGTGTATTATAAAAGGCAGTTGTCTTTCTACTCCTTTAATGTCCATCGACTTAGTGATAATGATGTTGTTATGTACTCGTACCCTGAGACAGTAGCTCGAAAGGGTGCCAATGAAGTTTGCTCATTTCTATATGACTATGTGACAATCCAGCTTTCTCCTGAAGTTCGTAACTTAGTGATTTTCTGTGATTCGTGTGAAGGCCAAAATAAAAATTGACGGTATTCCCGTTTCTACATTATTTAGTCCATAAAATAAACAGATTTGACTCTATTTCTGTGACATTTCCTATAAGAGGTCGCTCTTACATGGATACGGATAAAGATTTTGGTATCGTTAATCAAAAAAGTGCAGCAGAAACCCCAGAAGATTGGGAGCAGTGTTACGATTGGCTCGTCAAAAACCTGTGCCTTATAAAGTAGAAGTAGTTGATAACTACTTGGTGTGTAGCTGGGACACTTTCTTGCACCTATGTATGTTACAAAAGCACAAGATAATTAAGCATTTCAAAGCAACATCCCAGACTAATTTATTTCAGAGACACCTACAATGAAACAATGGTTTCAGCTGTCATTAACAAAAAGTGACTGGTAGGGAACCACCGTATACTGGAAAAGAATTCGTTTTCCTTCTCGATCCTATACTGAGTCACTGCCCATTCCAATGGCAAAATACAAAGATCTCCTAGTTGTTAAAAAAATTTTGTTCTGAAAAAGGAAGAATGTATTTTGATCAGCTAAAAAAACATGACTTATTTTTATCTTAAGAATTTTACAATGTTATTGATTCATTTAACAGATTACATTATTGTTTTTAGCTTTAGTTAAGATAAACAAGTCTAGTTCTGCTTATTTTTTTTTTCGTTGATTCATATTATATTAATTTGTCAATTACAGCGTTTTTGTCTTTTTCCTCCAGACCTTTGGTTGTTTTTTTTTAATATCTTTCGTTACCTACTGTACATGATAATTTCAATTGTATAATATCAACTCTGTATATATGAGTTGTCAAATACTCAATACAATAGTGGTTTAGCATGTTTATTTATGAATTATAAGTTTTGAAATCTAAAAATCGCGTTTCCAAAAATTTAAAAAATTGACTTACAGCGTTTTCCCCTGTAGTCTTTAATTATCAGTAACGCGCAATATACCAAAACAGAAATAAAATTAGATATTATTTCCGCAGATTTTGTCTGATGAGTGTAATTACAATCAATGCGTATTTAGGGATATAACTTTATCAGATAAAAGCAAGTTTGGAATTTAAACGCGGTCTTTAATGCAGCACCTTAGTATCTCATCTAAATCTGCTATCTGCATCTACCAGTGTCACCAGTGAAATAGAAAGTATTCAATACGAAGTGTTTACTTAATTCACATTCTAGTAGCCGTCATATAGGTGTTTAAGTTCGTTTTACTAAACCGAAATGAAAAATTCATGAAAATTTTGTGGGTTAAAATTTCAGGTTAGTTATGATTTAACAGCGGTAATAATGATTTCCGTTAATTATGCGATATTTTTCTCTACTGTAACCATTGAACGAACCATCAGAAACTATGAGTGGCAATGGGTAACAATATAACTACCTCCGAAAATTGGCAGCCATTGTTGAACAATAAAACTTTCAACCTGTCCAGTTCCATTTCACGTCACTCCCAGCGTAGACCGTTCCATTTGTCTCTGTATCCCACTCTCAATTATGAAGCCATAGTCTTGGTTAGAGTCATAGTTTCGCATTTGGACTGTTTAAGCCTAAACCACTAAAAATCATTCTTTAAATTTTATTTTTTTTTTGTAAATTGTATTTTGTATTTTTTTTATTTAGTTAATGTTAGGATGTTAAAGTTTTTTCTTTACTTTATTATTAGTATCTTTCCATCATATTGATAGCACATTATGTATGCAAATCCTCAACAGGTCAAAAAAACCATAGGCGTTACCCTATACTTGTTTTAAAATAAATTAAAAAAAATAATATTTTAAGATGCCATCAACAATTCATTATCTTTTAAAAAATCTTCTGTAAAATAAGTGTCCTCTAATCTCACTATACCTTTTTGTGCGTAAAAAACGTCGGTATATATGCCACACGTATTATTGTTTCGCGAAATAAATTAATGTAAACAGTAATTTAAAGGTGATATAGTTGTTGTCTATACAAGTTATCGCCTGACACAAAAAAGAATACCTTCTTTATACGATTACCTGGAATTACTGATAAGGCTTCACTAATGATAGTTTAAGCAGTTTTTATCGCTACATTACAGCTTATGCCAATAATATAAATTAGAAATTGTTTGCCATCTGCCATTTAGTTTGTAGATGTACATTGTTCATGTCTTACCTACCTACGTTTTGGTCCGTTATTTTGTTATTTGCATTTAAAACTGACGTCGATAACAGGTTTTATCCCGGTTAAGTGTAGTTTTTAAAGGTGCCTTCAGTCTAAGAGAGAAAAATATAATATTAAATGTTCAATGATGCACGCCCTTTAAGTAATGTTCGTGAAATTGTTAACATTGTGTTCAAATATGACAGGGGTGGAGAAGCAATAATTTATAGAGTTCCTAAAAAAAGAAAAGGAGAACTGTTTCATCTCCCAAGAAGAGTGGAGGGAGTAAACCCTTGGAAATTGAAGAAATACATAAAAACATGATAAGACGCAGCGTCCACTCATTTTTTGTTAACAAAGAATTTCCAACATTGGACAAAATCCAAACATTAATTAGAGAAAACGAAGAGTTACCAATCATAAGCAACAAGAAATTATGGGACTATTGAGAGAGATGGGATTTCGTTGGCAAAAGAATAGAAGAAAATCCGTTTTAATTGAAAAAGATTACATTGTATGTTGGAGACGAGATTATCTAAGAACTATTAAAAAGTACCGAGAAGAAGGAAAACAATTTTTTATTTGGACGAGACTTGGCTAAATGAAGGTCATACTGTACTATATCTATGGGTTGATGCAAATGTGAAAAAGTTCCCTCAGGCATTCATCGAAGGTGTATCTACTGGAATAAAAATATTCCCGTTGGAAAAGGACGCAGACTCATAATAACCCATATTGGAAATGAATACGGTTTTGTCAATTGTGGATTATTAATTTTTGCCTCAAAATCAACCAAATATTACCACGAGGAAATGACTGCTGACGTTTTTGAAGAGTATTTTGAGCAAATGTTGGATTTAATTCCAAAAAATTGTGTCATAGTCATGGATAATGCTAGTTACCATTCAAGACTAGCAGAAAAATTGCCAACAACGGCATGGAAAAAAGGAGAGATAATCGAATGGTTGGATAAACACGCAATTGAGTACACGGAGAATTCGACAAAAAAGGAATTATTACCTATTCATTTTTTTTATTCGGCCACTGTTACGGCCACAAATTATTTTATATATAACCAATAAAATAAAAATCTTACATTTCTCGCAAATTCATTAGTACCTGTTAATCTCCATCCCTCCGATACTGGCAACATTATTTAGGGATAAGTAACCCTCAAAACTATTGTATTCTATTCTGCTTCAATCTTTATACCTGGTGGTCATACTCAATTTAAAATTGTTTTCCTATATACTTCTGTAAACTTGTTGACAAATATCTATTTTTCATTGAGTCACCCGTATCAACAGTTTAGGAATTTGCATACATAATGTGCTATCAATATGATGGAAATGGAGCTATAATAATTTAAATTCATCAAAAATCACATTTTATATTTCAATATCGAATATGCAGGTTATATTACACTTTTTCAAAAACCATGGAACTATAATTTCATCACCTATGTTGAAACCAATACGACAAACTAAAAACTCTCGTTTTAACCCAGGCTGTTTTAGAGCATTTGAAATCATTTTTATAATGCTGGATGCCGGCATCTCACACCGTACTACAACAGTCCTATTTTGTAAAATGCCGGAATCTCATTACGTTAGTCAAGGCGTTAATTTTTTTTGTTTGCCAATAAATGTTTACAATGGTACTGGTATATGCTAAATATTTTATTGTTTCGATATTTTAAACATTTAATAATATTTTAAACATTAATTGTTTTAGGTTTATTTAGAGGAGCAATTCAAGAAAGCGGAAGCTCTTTATCCTATTATAACTTTGTACCCAGCCCTAGTGTTTATGCATATAAATTGGGTCAAATTCTAGATAACTCAATTAATCCACAAACAACAAATACATCAGAACTATTGGATTTTCTCAAAAAAGCAGAAGTTACCGATATAATAACAGCATCAGTGCAGGTAATTTGTAACCCTTCGTTAGGCACGTGGTAAATTAAGATACGTTTGGTAAGGTGGTCTACAATTTTAGACCATTTTATTTATATTATTAAACATAGTTTTTCATAGTTTCAATAATAATACTGCATTAAAGTATAATTGTTAAACTGTTGTTAATGATACAGACTAATTTTTATAAAAAATGTTTACTTATTTTTTTACTAGCTAATAAAAACTCGACTGCATGTATTTAAAAAAAATTTTAAGAGTTTCTAGTAGAAGATTTGTTAAATTTCGAGGACAAACATTGCAACGTCCGACATAATTCTGTAGTTATAGAGGGCTTCGAGGGGTAATATTTTCTATTCGTGGCATAGCTAGATTGAGCTCGCTTCCTTATTTCTCTTGAGAACCGAGGAACTGTTAACCCTGCTGTTAGGGTCTATTTGACCCAAAAAAATTAATTTCTTATTTTGCAAATTATTACGCTGGTAACGTTTTGGTGTTTCGTGACTTTATTACCTAATATGAGGTCTTTCAATTGCATACGAGATAAAAAATCAACTTCCTGATTTTTTTGATGAAAATTAAATTGTTATCTATAGTACGTTCGGATCAATATGACCAATGTGTTTAAACTGTTAAAAATTACCTGTGTACGTATGTTTAGTTGGCAGTATTTTATATGTTTTCATATAGTTTGTCAGTCACGTACGTCTATAAATAGAAATAAGTTTCTGCAAGCTAGAAAAAATGTGTAGTGTAGCTGGACGATGTCATTTAGAAGGACATGTCACGTAAAAGGAAGTGGGGGTGATAGACAAGTAGTAGGCTGGAGGACACGATATGCCAAGCGCATTCTTTACATGTTAAATGTGTTTTATTTACATTTCAGTGTATGTTTGCATGTTGATAATGTCGCATCGAACAATGGTAACTAAAGATGAGCTTCGCGAGCTCGCGAACGTGTCAGAGAGTGATGAATACATATCAGAAATAGAATACAATACAAGTAGTAAGAGTGAGGAAGAAAGTAGTGATGATTCTTTTGTTCCATTCTACAACATCCTGTAAAACGTTTTGTAACAGTTCCTTCAAAAGACGGTAATATCCAGTGGTCTCTTGATCCTCCTTATCAACGCGGTTGTTCTTTCTTGGCCAATGTTGTAACGATTTTATTTTGCCTACCTCAGGGTGAAATTTATGGGGGTAAAGATAGGGCAATCGAAAATAAACGCTTCTTGTACGAACGGCACTCAGGGTTTGTCAGGAGAGCTGGAGTCGTGGATAAGTATAAGATAAGGGGGTAGGATTGGAGCAATCAAATAAACGCTTCTTGTACGAACGGCACTCAGGGTTTGTTAGGAGAGCTGGGGTCGTGGATAAGTAAAAGATAAGGGGTTGGATTGGGGCAACTACAAAAAAATAAAATAAAGGGTCATGCATTTCTTGGGACAAACAAAAGAAAAAGAAACAGGAAACACCTCTAGTAATTTAATATAGGGCGCCAGTTTGAAGTGCCTAATTACACCTATTACAACCACTAGTTGATAACTAGGGAAATAATTATTAAACATAAAAAAACATATCTGGGCGACATTTTTGTAACGATAACTTGGGATACTATTAAAAAAAGAATTAATTTTAAAAAAATTGACAAAATGTTAAGAAACAAAATTTAACATTTATTGTTGTGTCATACCACAAACAGTTACACAAATACAGACAGCACAAAAAATGCTATATTTGTTACAGAGATTCTTACCAAAATAATAAAGAAAACTTACATGTGTTCTACTGATTTACAAACTCAGGAAGATGCTACCAAAAACTTACAAATGTTACTGAGGTATAAACTGTGGCAAATATAAAAATTATTACAAATAAAAATATTATCTTTTTAAACAATGAAAACCATTATTTTTTTTTTGTCTATCTTGACTTTAAATTTTAGACACAGAAAAAGTTACTGAACCTCACTAACTTTACTCTGCATATCTGGGGTCGCTGGAATCTGGAATTATACTGGAAGCAGATCCGGGATGACGACCAGGGATAAGAAGATGAGGGCGGAAGCAGCACGCTGAACACAACCTTGAAAACTCGTCTCCTTCAAAGACTGGAACAGGCACAGCACAATGGCAACATGAGCCATCTTCAAAAACTAATGTAAAACCGCTCAATACCAAGTATCCAACTGCTACTGTCACTGTCATGCTACATTTCCATGACAAGAAATGGAAAACGAAAAAATTTTGAATTTGAAAATAAATTCGGACTCCAACAAAACTGCACACGCCTTGATCAGCGGCCGGCTTTACCCAGAGTCATGAAATTATCTCTAAAATTCATTCACATAACTTGGAATAACAAACACTTGACAGGAATTAAAACGCAATTTTTTCCAACGCAGCTGCGAAATCAAATAATACAACACTCGAAAAATGATTTATATTAACTCGAGCCGCCTAAGAAGGAACTGAATATATTTACGGGTATTTTAACTTAAAAAATACAAACGAAGAAACATAGAAAAAATTCTTCAAGTTTTTTATTATTTTTTTAACATATATGAAGGGATTTTAATATATTACACATACGAGGGGATTTCAATATACACCAAAGAACCAATGAAATTGAAAATGCTACAATGTTATAAATATTGCTTCAGGAGTTACAAAGTACGCACCAGCACGAATTTTCGATATCAAAAATTCATTTCACGCACTTTTTTCTGACATAGTTGCACACCAAATTATAAACATGACCAACATAGAAGGACAGCGTGTTTTTGGAACCAACTGGACAAAAATTGGATAAAATTGGTTTTCTAGCATACATTGGTCTATTATTGTTAACTGGAGTTTTTAAGTCTCATGGTGAATCAACTGAAAGCTTGTGGAATTAATTAAGGGGTCGTAATGCATTTTAAGCCACAATGTCCCTGGAAGTATTTACAAAAATTTCGCGAAATATATCTTGTTAACGAAGTTCTCGTCATTTACAATTGTTTTCATCATTACCTCACTAAATTGTAATCTACAGCCGTAGTCATCTTTATTAGTAGTAATTCTTGCAACAACTGGGTTTTGCAGGGATTAAATGAATTCTTGTGTAATACACGCAAGAAAAAAGGATAATCCACATCATGTATTTGTGATGCATGAGGTGGTGAGTGTTTTGTTTGTCTTCATTGGAGAACCATCTCGAAATGAAGCCAAATGTACGTTTAAAATTTTGTTAAATCTTCGTTTCTGCGAATATTATTTTTGCAAAGTTTTTGTGTCCTTTGTTTCTGTTTTTTTTTTAAGTTATGTTCTAAATAATGAGTAAACTTAAGTACATATATAATAACATCTTTAATACTACAAATTGAGTTAGAACTGATGAAGCTTTAGAAGTATAAAGCGAAACGTCTTCTATAAACTTATAAAGTAGTTGACTTCTGTTTTTATATTTTGCCAACCTGAATGACCGATTCATCACTTCAATCACTTTCAACAAAGTGCCTAGAGCAAACACGAGCAAATTTAACATTAAAATTATCCTAGCTTTACACAAATGTTTCCAAACAACTTGCATTTCCTTGTCTTTTGGAAAGCTATAAAATGCTGTTCTTCTTCTTAAGGTGCCTTCTCCATTACTGAAGGTTGGCTATAATACAGCAAATTGCTCTCTATCTTGAGCTGTTCTTAGTATCGCATGTGTGTCCATGCCTGTCCAGTCTCTTATGTTCTTCAACCAGGAGCATTTTCTTCTTCCTGGACCTCTTCTTCCTTCCACTTTCCCTTCCATTATAAGTCGTAGGAAGTTGTATTTTTCTCCTCTGTAGATATGTCCTAAATAACTCGTTTTTCGGTTTTTTACAATATTTAGGAGTTCTCTGTCAGTACCCATTCTTCTTAGCACCTCGTTGTTGGTCACGTGCTCTGTCCAAGAGATCTTCAGCATTCTTCGAAAAACCCACATCTCAAAGGCTTCTATACGCCTCATACTTGTAATTCCGAGAGTCCATGTTTCCACTCCGTATAGCAATATGGAATAAATAAACGTTTTTACAAATTGGTATCGGATGTCCAACGATAACGTAGAGTTTATTAGAAATTTTTTCATTCGCTGAAATGCGGACCTAGCATATTCTATACGAGCACGTATTTCGACCTCGTGGTCAAGATCGTTTGTTATCCAGCAACCAAGATACTGGAATCTTTGTACTGGTTCTATATGTTTGTTATAGATACGAATATTAATGTCGACATTTGGTGTACGTGTAACAGCCATCACTTTTGTTTTATTTGTGTTTATATTTAGTCCCAAGCTATCTCCCTCTGGTTATGACATTCAAAAGTCGTTGTAAACCCTCAGCACTGTCCGCAATAATGACGGTGTCGTCTGCGTATCTTAAGTTGTTTACGTATTCTCCGTTGATTTTTATTCCTTCTTCAATATTTTCGAGGGCATTTTGAAAGATCTTTTCGGAATATATATTAAATAACAGTGGAGAAAGTACACAGCCCTGACGAACTCCTCTTTTTATTGGCAATTCTGCTGTCAGACGAATAAAATGCTGTACCGGGTACAAAACTCTTGCACATATTGTCAACGGCACAACCATACACTGCGCACCTCATATCGGGAAAAATTTAAAGCCTTGTAACACTTTTAAAATATTATTTTATTAAATATTGGCTATGAACCGTAAATGTACATAAACGTCAAAACACAATACGGCGAAATTTAGCACAAGCTGACGTCACAAAAGTCATGGCATAAGCCACGCCCACATGCGCGGTATCTTATCTGTTTGTATTTGTATCATGTAGATCACCTATATAAGTTACTTCTGCACTGAAAATTAATACGATGTGCATACTTAAGATAGGATAGAAAATTGTCGTTGAGTGCAGAAGGAGTGGAAGGGCGATAGCCTAGTTCTGCATTCATATTCGGCAGTCTGCATTAAGAATACCGTTGATTGTTAATGGACAAATTCAAACGTAGTTATGAGGTTCGAATCGTTTTATAATGCCCCTTTGTCCGCTTCTTGTCGATCGACGATGATAAATATAATAAAAAGTTGAAGGTGTGGAGAAAATGTTGATTTTATTGACAGCTACCACAAATTACACTATATGATGATGTGAAGGTAACTATCTATAATAGACTGCACTCACATGAGCTCAAAGCCGCAATTTGTAATCTCACAAATAATTCATACCTCAGCACAGAGGTTATTGCTTTTATCATAGTAACAAACTTTGAACTCTTAGCTTACATTACAATTTAATCTGGGCAGTAATTGCAACACTTAGGAAGTTCAATTAGAAAATATATTATTCGGCAATTTATTTAGTTGTAGGGAAATAAACTAAGTTATTAAAATAATATACGATATGTTTTCACAATGTTTCAATTATACATGGTGAAACTATAAAAGATTAAGTAGTTAAGAATAACGTGAGATTACAAATTAAGGGATTAATTTGTGATTGAACATCAATATTCGACAAAAATGGACTGGATAGTTCTGCATTCAATGAGCGATTTATTACTCTAAAAAGCTTTTAAATAATCTAACTAAATTTAAAATACCATCATATCGCTATCAACTCAAAGTTGATATGATCTTCATGCTAATAACAAACTTATTATAGCTCTTAAAATTCATGTGATTTAAATCACGCTTTTTGCTAAGATGGCTATTTGGGAACTCTGTATCTCTATAATAGACTTGTGTGTACTAGAAGCGAGGTTTTATTTAAGCTGCGTCGTCAGTTTTTTGTTAGGCCAACTTTGGTTATTTTAGTTTTTATGAAAACATTTATGTCACATAAAATCAATTGTATAATTAAAAAAAGTTTTTAGTAGGTATATATGTATATATGTATATATATATATATATATATATATATATATATATATATATACTATATATATTATATTTCTAGGTTCCCCCTTTGGCAACAGGAGGAATGCTAATTAATGATCTGATATGGGCTCCCACATTGGAAAAAAATTGCACTGTAGAACCATTTCTTTCTGAACCTATGCACGAAGCGTTTATTAATGGAGATTTTAATCGAGTTCCTCTCTTAATTGGTTTTAATTCAGAAGAGATGCTGTATTTTACACCGCGTAAGTTTTCTTATAATCTAATTAACTATAACAATATAATCTACCTATATTAGTTTAAGTACATTGATAGAGTGCACCTTCGCTTCAAGCATCTATATATACAGGTTGAGTTTTTAGGGAGAATATCGGTCAATAATTAATTCCGTCGTGGTACAAAAGGTATAAGGGTGGACTAGGGTGGATTCATCATTTATCAATTGGCGCTACAGCCCTTCGTGAGCCTTGGCCAGCTTCAAAACATTCTTCCATTCTTCCCTATCGAGTGTCTGCCTTCTCCAGCCCCTCACTCCAATCTCCCTCAGATCTTCCTGTACATCGTCCAGATATCTGAGTTTAGGTCGTCCCCTTTTTTTCTTCCAACCGGCCTGTTTAGCATAGTTATTTTAGTGGGATCACTCTCATCTATCCGCATAACGTGGCCCACCCACCTAAGCCGGTTTATTTTGATGGTCTTCACAATATCTGCATCACCAAAAAGTCTATAGAGTTCAAAGTTATATCGCCTTCTCCACAGACCCTGTTCGTTTACTCCGCCATATATGGCCTCAATACTTTCTATTCAAGATCTTCATCTCGGTCGTCATTGTCCATGTTTCCGATCCGTATGTGAGCACTGGGCGTATTATTGTTTTATAAAGTTTGCACTTTGTTGCTATTGACATACTTCTCGCTCTTAGTTAAGGGCCCAGGCCAAAATAACAGCGGTTATTTTGGCCTGGGCTCTTAACTAAAATAACAGCATATTATTTTTTTTTATCTGTTTGGATGTGTTATTTTTGTAGTCTACCAGTGATCCTAAGTAGCAGAATTCTTCTAACTTTTGTATCGTTTCGTGTTGCACCTCTAAGTTATTTTGTTGAATTCTTCATATGGCCGGCATATATTTAGTTTTCTGGATGTTAATCAGAAGTCCGATGTTTTCTGCGGCATTTTTGATACGTGTGAAAGCCTCCACTGCTTCATTTTGGGTTCTTCCAATTATGACGATATCATCAGCGTATGACATTATTTTTATACTAGGGGTATAGATCGTACCTTTTAAGTTTATTCCCGAATCTCTCATAACTTTTTCTAACGCTAGGTTGAACAGCGTGCACGATAGCGCATCTCCCTGGCGCAGTCCACTGTTGGTTTTAAATGGTTTTGAAACATCCCATTGTACGCGCACTTTACATTCGACTTTCATCATTGTCATTTTAATTAATTCTACCAAATCTTTTGGTATTATTGTTCGAGCTATTTCTTGTGGCATTGTAATTAATTACTGTAAACTGGGATAAGCCAATTAAAGATAAATACTTTATTCCGTTTCAATTCACTCGGAAATCGTTCTCGCATTTTTTCTCGTCTCGTTTTTTCTAATATTTGTCTGATGGATGATATGTGATCAATGGTAGATTTGTTTTTCAAGAAGCCTCTTTGGTAGGATCCTATTATATTGTCAGTATACCGTGCCAGTCGTTCGTTAAGTATCAGGGACACAATTTTGTATGCTAGGGTGGATTAGGGTGAAGTTAATGTCGCATCAACGATTGGCTTTTGCAAAAAAATCTTAAATATTTGTACCCAAACCTACACTTTTACAATGTTAATTAGTATGTCGTTAATAACAATGGGTAGTTGAGTGACTGAAATTAATATTATAAAAAAAATGGAAGATAATATGCAAGTATTTTCTATGATAGTTTTATATTTTCGTTTTTTCCTTGTAGATACTATACAATTAATTTTAGTAATAACATAAATATACTTGCAGCATCCATAACAACCATTGCATTTAAAGTTCCGACCTGGGAAGACTTTAATAAATTAGCAGAAAATCTGGATCACAACAATGAGGATATTGCACATGTTGAACTTGATGTACTTGATTCAAAACGAGCTAAAGTGTGTGAACAAATCAAACACCTGTATACAAATTCTTCATTTTTAGATAATCCGTATGCTTATGTAAGAGTAAGTATAATGAAAATAATAATAAGAAGGAAAGGTGAAAGTAATTGGATTTGAAAAATTAAGTTCTTTATTAAAATAGTCAACATGTTGCTTAAGCAGTAGTTTGTGGTTTTTTGCAATTCATTTCGCTTTTAATAGTTATTAAATATTACAGAACAATTTTTTTACATTAGAATAATTTCAAGACTAACCTATATTATTTAAAATCTTTAAAAAAACAGACACACAAAAACCTACATATAGCTTTTTCTACTGTACTCATTTAAGATATAATATTTGGGTGAGCAATGTGCAGTGAGAACACTTTCGATTACTCTAAATTCGGTGTTCTGATGTTACAAGAGTAATTTTCTGTACCATGCAGAAGTAATTTATTTTTGCTTTTCTATGGTCGATAAAAGAAGTATTTGTTTCTTCTTTAACAAAGATCTTAGCAATATCATTACCAATAGTTCCTTATGTCCTGGAACCCACAGCAAAGTTTGTTTATTGTGCTCTTGTTTTTGTCCAGATTCTTAATAATTCAGTTTATTCTTTCTCTTAAGACATTGTCTTTTTCTTTGAATATTCTATTAGTTTTTTCCACTGCTTCCTACTTTAGTATCGTTTTAACACTTTGGTTCTCTGATATTCGTGTAATATGGCCAACTCATCCAGCTCCTTGGAGCTGGCGTTATTATTAGTTTTCGATACATCCTCATTATTTCTTTATTTGTTCATCTTCTTTAAATATTGTCTGTGGTCTGTATTCCTCCAAAAATTTCTGTGAACTCCGTTTTCTCCCAAGATCTCTACTTCATTTTCTTCAACCATCATCAGTGAAATATCTCGAGAGTAGTTAAAACTAGCTACCAGTCCAGGTATAATACACTTTAGATTCCATGAAAATCGTATAATAATTCCATGAAAATCATAAGTGAACTGTATAATGATGATAGACTCGAAGAACAGGAGACTTTAGTTGAAGGTGAAGGACCAGAAATACTAAAATCAGAAATACTGCATGCTATAAAGTTAGTAAAGAACAAGAAAGCCGTTGGCCCTGATAACATACCGACAGAGATGTTAAAGCTTATAAATGGGGAGAACATTGGAATACTGGTCAAACTTTTTAATGATGTTCATTCAACTGGTGATATCCCTGAAGATTGGTTTAAAGTCCGAATTCATAACACTACCAAAAAAACAACGTCCGAAAAACTGTAGCGATTATAGAATGATAAGCCTTATGAGCCACACTTTGAAAATATTTCTACGCATCATCCACAGTAGAATCAGAGATAAATGTAAAGAAGATCAGGATGAAACACAATTTGGCTTCAGAAATGGGCTGGGAACTCGGGACCCCTCTTTGCACTAAATGTATTACTGCAGAAATGTCGAGATCAAAGGAAAGACGTCTTTGCTGTATTTATTGACTATGAAAAGTCCTTTAATCGAGTACAGCATCACAAATTAATTACAATATTAAAAGATAAAGGAGTTGATAGTCAAGACATACGATTCATAGAAAAGTTATACTGGCGTCAAACAGCGACAGGTTGCATAAACGGAAAATCAACAGAAATATGTAAAATACAAAGAGGTGTCAGACAGGGTTGTATACTATCCCCACTGTTATTTAATTTATATTCAGATAGAATATTTAAAGAAACGCTGCATAATTTGGAATGAGGCGTGAAAGTTGATGGAATTCTGATAAATACAATCAGATATGCAGACGATACAGTTATTTTAAGTGATGACATGAATGGATTACAATGCCTTTTAAATGTCATTGATACAGTGGGAAGAGAGTTTGGCCTAAACATAAACTGTTCAAAAACAAAACACATGGTGTTTAGCCGTTTAGCACATGAAGATGCACGATTATATGTTGATGGTCATACAATTCAAAGAGTGTCCAGTTTTAAATATCTTGGTTGCCATATTACTGAACAACTAGATCCAGATCAAGAGATAAAATATAGAATCGAGATAGCCCGCACGACGTTTTTAAAAATGAGGTCATTCTTCTGTAATGATAACTTGCAACTTCAACTTCGAAAGCGCATGGTTAAATGCTACATTTGGTCAGTTCTCTTATACGGTGTCGAAGCATGGACATTAAAAATATCCACCATTAATCGTCTGGAGGCCTTTGAAATGTGGCTGCACAGACGTATACTAAAAATTCCATGGACGGCTATGCTGACAAATGTGGCAGTCCTTGAGAGAGCAAATGCTGCTCGCGAGCTGCTTGATAACATCAAATGTAGAAAGAGGCTCTATTTTGGACACGTAGTAAGGGGAGACCGATATAATATTCTTCAACTTATTGTGATGGGTAAAATCGAAGGACGCAGAGAATTGGTAGAAAGCAGGCCTCTTGGTTGAAGAATATTAGGGAGTGGACAGGAATAAAGAAAGCTGAGCAACTATTTAGAATAGCTCGAGACAGAGACAGTTTCGCCATGTTAATCGCCAACGTCAAAGGGACTTGATAGGGCACGTTAAGAAGAAACAAATCTTATACTATAAAATTATCATGGCACAAGGTCGATGATATATATATTATATATTATATATATTATATATATATATATATATATATATATATATATATATATATATATAATGTCGGTTTATAACGTTCTTTGACGTCTTTCGATTTCCAATCTCCATCTCATTCTATCGTTCCGTAGATCGTCCTCCAGTTCTTTTTCCTGATTTCTTTATCAACTCCTTCTCTCCTACTTCTTCTAGGCCTTCCTGGTCTCTGCCTTCCTCTTGGTTGTTATTCAAAAATTTGTCTTGTTATTTTATTCTCCGGCATTCTCCTTACGTGTCCATACCATCTGAGTTGTGTCGTTTTGATGTCATCAATAATATTATGGGTAACAACCATGATTTCTCGGACTCTCTGTTTTGTTATTCACACTTCGCATCCTTATGTTGTGATATTTTTTATTATGATGTTGTATGTTCTTCTTTTATTTTCTTAGAGACATCTATAATAGACACAACAACAAAAAAACTCATTGTGCCAAAGACTATGATGTAGTACTTTAAAGTCCTTCCCCTTTTAAATTCAATGTTTGTTTCGTCCCTTCTAAGTGTTTTCTGTTTTAGTGTGTTTTAAATTATCCTTAAGTGTTTGTATTTTACATTTTTTACCATTTATTCTCTTGACCATTCCAATAATTAACACATTGCCAATAGAACTTTATCAAAGTAATTTGATAACTACAAGTTTGGAAATAATTGCACACCCACACAATTTTACATCAACACCTATTCATTGTCATAAATGTCACCTTCATAAAACAATTTAAATAACACACATTTCAAAAATATATCTCTGGAATAAGTATAAATAACTTTTAATAACACAATAATATATTACACCACTTACATTTAACAAACAATCTCACACACATCTCAAATTCATTGGATCAAATCTACCTCCTCAAGAACTTCCCGTTTACTGTCAAACAACTGCAATAATAGTATTGTGTTCTCCATTCAACAATATACAGTAGTTTCAAACATGTTCTACCATCCATCTATTAATAGAGTACCGGCATCATTTGTTTAACTTTGTACGAGACCTGAAGATGCTTTGCATATTGTAGAAAGCGAAACCGGTCGTCGGATAGTTAAATTAAATTGATTGTGAGTAAGTCTGATTTTTTATTTCTTTACCTATTTTCAGGTTTCGTTTTATCTCCCTTTTTGTGGATGGTGCTCATATGCGATTCTTTTCATTCCTCAGGTATTTCATGTTTATTTATGCATTCCTGGAAAAGTTGTCGTAGCCGGTGAATAAGTATTTTGGGTCCATGTTAGATGAGTTCTGGAGCTACATTTCCTGGACCAGGTTATTTGCCATTCTTTAGATGTCTGCACACGGTTTCGACTTCTCTTTCATTTATTCTAATTGAGCTGTTCTCTAGCTGTTTGAAGGGCTCTCTTCTCTGTTAGTAAATCTTTTAAGTATTCTTCTCAAGTTTGCGGTGATATGGACCGGATAATATTTTTTTTTTGCTGTTTCTTAAATTTTTTAACACTCCAGCTTTCTGAATTTTGGCTTTCACCAATGTATGTATTTAGCGTAGGTGCACTTTTTTTTCCAGGATTAATTTTTCTTTTGGCATATTTTTTTTCTGACCATCGCTTGCATTCTTTTGTATTTGATTCTGTCTTCCACATTTATTGTCTTGTCTTCTGTCTTCCACAAGGTCGATGATACGAAAAGAAAACATGAATATCCAGAGCTGGCAAGGGAAGCTCTTAAATTATTAATGCAATTCGCCAGACCATACTAGTGTGAACTGACATTTTCTTTAATAGTAGACTTTAAAACTAAAAAGAGAACGATTTGATTATTAACGTTTTAAAATTAGCACCACAATTTGATAAACTTCTGAAAAATAAACACGCACAGCTTTCCCTCTAAAATTGTGTTTATTTTGCGTAAGAACCATAACTTTCTTTCTTTTCCCTTAGGGGTCGCCATTTACAAATTTAAAAACACTGGTGTATGTTAATACCATCAAAGTCCATGCTTCCGTATAAAGACAAGTATTCATATAAAATAGCAGAGAATAACTGGAGTTCTAATCGGGGTATCGAGATAAATGCTGCATAATAAGCTTTGTGTAAATCAGATTATTAACATAATCATATAACTCAGCTTTTGATGTTAGTTTTCGTAACAGCTATTTTATGCGTTGTTTAAAAATAGTTTAATTTTTGTTTGCTATTCTTGTCGTCTATACGATAAAAAAAAACATTGAATTCTGCAGTGTATATCTGCACTAATAAAATTTTAAAAGGTAAAATTTTGACGTTACATTTAACTTTTTTAACTGTGTTGTTATATTTGAAAATTAGTAGCACTTTTATTTCACTTAAATGAATTTAAACGTTTTTAAGTAATAGCGATTCAAAGTAAGTAATTTAAAAGATTTTTTTAAATTGTTTCAGATTTCCAGTGATCTCTATTTTATTCAGGCAATCATACGGCAAGCTGAGACATCATCAAAATTTATACCGGTCTACATGTATGAGTTTGATTATACCGCAGATGACTTGTTCCCCTTTCCAGGTAGTATTTTATTTTCTTTTAATCTTTTGACTATCTATCTACTAGCAATATCTATATAAGTTATATCGGTCTGTCAAGTGGCACTAAAGGCTTCAAAATCAAATAGAATTAATTCCAAGTAAATTTGAAACGGTCTTCGGAATCTGGTTCGGATCGGAAAAAGTAACAAAGTAAATTGACTCTGGATGCCTGGACATACTGGCATTAAAGTGAACGCAGAAGCGGACCTACTCGCAAGGGGAAGGGCAAAAGAAAAATTCGTAGGTACAAAACACGTTCAAAGAATTAAAAAAAAAACGAGAGTTTAACAATTAACAAATCACGTCTTTATAGAAAAATTAAAATACTTAAAATTAAAAATTTGCTTAAAATTAATACAATAAAATATAGTTCAATTCAAGTTCAGTTTTTAATAGGTATCAAAATAATGCTACAATAAAAAATCTTTATGTTTTCTTCTAAATTTGCTACCCAAATAGTTCGATCATCAATATTATTTGGAAACCTACATAGAAAAATAAATGGGTTTTATTCATTTCACTAATTTATTTGTATTCTTAAGAAATATTAAATTAAAAAGGTACTAAACAGATCTTTTTTATTCAGATGATGTCTACTTACAATTTTAAAATGTCTAATAATTTCATAAACTCATATCTTACTTAATACGTTTATGAACATGAATAAACCGAATGGTACGCTTATTAAAATGTAAACAAACACGCTTCCTTAGTTCCTCATCTTAAATAATATAAATAGACAGTACTTACAAATGAAATGAGAGATCTGGATGTAAATATTTCGTTTATTTTATTTCACTTTTCACAAATATGCCCTCAAGATACAGCCAAAATATCGAAAAACAACTTTTCCTCATCTATTGTAAAAAGTAAACAAACATGGAACAGCATTTAAAGTTTGACGTAGAGCAATAAGACAGAGAAATGTAAACACCGTTGCCATTTATAAATAGTTTTCAGTGCTTCTACATATAAAATAATTTATTGATAACTATTATACGCTATTATTAAATAATAATGCACACTATTTGCAAACATGATATTTTGATTACAATTTAAACATATTAATCTAACCAATAAATTATTATTTTGGTTTGATAGCACCTGTAGAGTATAAAATTCGGAGTAATATTTTCAGCGACTCGCGAATAAGAAATTTTAATAAGAAAACGTGACAACAGTTAAGGTGCTGAGAATGTGACCTATTCAAATAATTTTGACTTCACAATTTTATGTAAATAACTGAGTCCATCTGTGTTTATACGTCCATGTTTCTTGAAGTCACGGTCACGTCAACAAAAGTTGTATTACTTTTATTTAATCGCTTATGTACTTGTAATGTATATTATAAATTTTTTATATATCAAATAAACGTATTTTTCCCTTAAATCTATTATGAGTTTGGTTATTTAGTTTACAATTGTCTGTTTTGTGCATTAAAGTAAGTTTTCGATATAAAATAGCGTTCAAATTAGAATGATGTCGTATCCGACGTCACGTTACTAGATATGTCCATAAATCATCACCGTGTGATTCTAGGGTTCAATATTTTTAATATATTAAAATTACTGTTTTAACAAAATTTATAATTCCCGTTTAATGTAGCAATTTATATAAAAAATGTTAAAAGGAAATAATTTCTGAACAACAATTATCTTTTAATTCATATATTAAATTGTCTTATTGTTTAAGGAACTCCACATACTGAAGAACTTAGATATATGTGGAAAAATGTAGAAGATCTTCCATTTAACAATACCTTTCAACCAATATTGCAAGATCGAATGTGTACACTTTGGTCTAATTTCATTATTCATCAGTAAGTATTTTTTCTTAATGTTAAGTCTTAGTTATAGCTGCTCCATTTACGGTAGAATCGATCAAAAAATAAATCATACAGTAGAGAAACTAGATATTGTTTATACAGTATGTAAGTATATCTATAACTTTATGTTTATACAATAATTCTGTGGCTTGGAATATAAAAGCGGATGTCTATTTTCTCTATTTTAGATTAATATCATTTCTATAGTGACCATTTTGTGACACCCGACCATTTTATTCCAAGGCACAGAATTGCACAAAATTTATCGAAACCTTGTAAAAACTATTATTGTTTTATTTACAAGCTCGCATCAGCCTATATGGCTATTAGCGAAAAAAGAAAATATTAGCATCCATGAAATATTATAACAATCAAATTTTGTATAAACAGTTTATTGCTTTTAAATATTGAATAATCAGCTTGGCAACACACTTTAAAGAACAGTTCTTTCAAATTCTCCTTCTAATTATCTAAAAAAAAACGAATGGTGGAACTATCAGACCAAGCTTGAAATGTTGGTTTTAGTTTAAGTTATATCACCTATTTTTTGTGCGATCTACTATTCGATATGCCAACTATTTTGCTGTAGAAGTATGATTTGAGATCTTTTTCTTTTTTTATTTATTTATTTTGCTTCAAACTTAGGGTTATAAGCATAATAAAAATACAAAAAGTGATAAAGACATAAATAGGCATATACAAATTTTCAATTACATAATAATGAATATAATATACAATATTCTGATTTAAAACCCTGGTCCTCCAAGTTGGTGGAGGAGGCATCGGGCCAACTTCTCGATACTCGGAAAAAATGATCAAAGGTTGAAAATTTCAGCAAAAAGCCTTGGAATTCGGACGGATTAAACTATACACGATATTCGCAAAGAAAATGGACTATGAATTTGGGTGCATGGAACATACAAGGAATAAGAACAAAACAGGAGGAGGTCTTCCGTGAACTGAGTAAAATGAAACTAGACATCTGTGTATTAACTGAAGTAAAGAAAAAGGAAGAGGAAATAAAATGATAAGCGAATACCTGCATTTCTATAGTGGCGTAGAAAAGAGCTAAAGGGGAGTGTCTATAGCAATACATCAGAAACTGAAAAAATGTATTAAATCATGGCAAGAAATAGATGAAAGAATATCCTCATGGAAATTAAGAAAATAACCATGAAATAGTGGTAATTGGAACATATGCACCGACAGATGACTCAAGGGTTGACAGCAAGGAAGAGTACTTTAACAAGTTAACAACTGTTCTAGCCGACAATTAATAAGAAGAAAGAAATTTGGATCGTAGGTGATCTTAATGCAAGAACTTAAAAGAGCTCCAACAGTGAAATAGTAGGGAGATATAGAGAAGACATTCTGAACGACAATGGTCAAAGATTAATAGATTTTTGCGAGGCACATTCTTTGAAAATATTAAATGGTTTCTTCCCCATAAGAATATACACAAATTTACATGGACGCAGCCTACCAGGAATTTAAAATCAATAATTGACTATTTCATTTAGCGTAAAGAATCTAAACTAAAAACGAAGGACGTGAGGGTGTTTAGAGGGCCAGAATGTGGAAGTGTCCACCATATGATTATTGCAAAAGTAATGGTGACATTTAAGAGAGAACAATCAAGTCACAAAAATGATGAAGTAACAGACATAGGAACAACCATAGAAAACATAAAATATAACCTGAAAGCTTTAAACAAGATTCGACAAAGTTCTTATATAAAATTAGAATAGCTCAAAAAATAAAAAATATAGAAACAAAGGACTTAGACCCTGAAAGTCTGTATAAGGTAATAAAAAATATATTCACGAAACGGCAAATGAAGCACTGGAAAAGTTGAAAATCGGAAAAAAGGAAAACCTGAATGGTTGTCAACGGAACTAGAAGAGAAGGTTCTTCTCCATTTATCATATATTTTTTGTGAAATATATTTCTCAATGGAATAGAGAAGATAAAAAAGAAGTGGATAAAGCGAAAAATGTAATCTGGGAGGCTAAGTGTGATGAACTGGACAGATTTATGGGTGGAACAAAAGTGGCACAAGCTTGGAAAACATTAAAGCAGTTTAGGAAAAATGAAAAAATGAAGAGAACATTCCTCTCATAAAGTTAAATGAATGGGAAGAATATTATACGAAACTGCTGAAAGAGGATACAGTAGAGTACAGATGGGACAAGATAAGGGAATTAATAGATAACAGATACGAATGACAGGAAATCCCTATAATAACATTATCTGAATTGACGGAAACCTTAAAAGAGGTTAAAAACGGAAAAGCCACAAGGCCTGGAGACATTCCCATAGAGCTGGTTAAATATGGGCCGACTGCACTTTTAGAATTAATAGTAGACCTTTTTAATAAATGTATGTGTAGAGACCAGAAAATTCCTAAAGATTGGAATAAATCTTATATAAGCTCCATATAATACAAGAGAGGGAATAAAAGAGACTGTTCCAATTATAGAGGTATTAGTGTGACGAGCTCTGTGGGCCGGTTGTACGGCAGAATATTAAAGAAGAGGGTTGAAAGACAGATACAAGATATTGAAGAACAAAGCGGCTTTCGTACCGAGAGATCCTGCCTTGATAATATATTTATCCTACGACAAATAATTAAAAAGCGTGTCGAAAGAAGTAGAGAGACCCATTTGGTATTTATAGACCTTGAGAAAGCATATGATAGTGTCCCGTTAAGGAAAATGTTTGAGGTCCTCGAAAGGTCCGGATTGGATTCGACGTATATCCGATCGATATATAAATTGTACGAAAATGCAGTTAGTTGTGTAAAAATTGGAACCAGAACTTCAAATGAATTTAAAGTCACTAAAGGCCTAAAGCAAGGATGCTGTTTGTCACCGAAACTCTTTAAAATATACGTCCAAGAAGCATTGAGGAATTGGAGAAATAAATATAGATTTATTGGCATCGAAGTGGGACAAGAAACTCTGTATACATTGTTATTTGCAGATGATCAGGTGGTGGTTGCAACCGATGAGGAAGATATAATTATATGAATCGAAAATTATTTAAGGAATATGCCAAATGGGGGCTTACTGTAAACATAAGCAAAACAGAATATGTAAAAATTGGAGGAAATACCACAGATCTGAGGCTTGAGAAAGCAGACATAAAAGGTTGCAACCAGTATAAATATCTGGAAGCATCATATCAGCAGATGGCAGAGTTAAGATAGATGTACAAAACCGAATAACCGAAGGAAAAAAATGCATCCGAATACTGAATTCATTACTGTGGTCTAATAAAATAAAGATGCATACCAAACTTCGTATATACAGAGCAATTGTAAAACCGATTACCACATATGGTGCCGAATGTTGGACGATGACAAAGAATAAACGAGATAAAGTAGACGTTGTGGAAATGGAAGGTCATGTCGAGTATCGAGAATGGGAAGAATCAGGAATGAGGAAATACGAAACCATACAGGAATAGAGATACTCTTTCAGATAGAATAGAAGGAAGGCAATTACAATGGTATGGTCACGTGATGAGAATGGAGGAGGAGCGGTGGCCAAAGAAAGCCTTACTGTATGTTCCGCCAGAAAGAAGGAAAAGGGGAAGACCACCAAATTCCTGGAGAAGAGAAATTACAAAAACAATGCAATCTAGAGGCTTAGAAGGGAGATTGGAGAGATAGGAAAAAATGGAGGCTGACATGCGGGAAGCGGCAATCGCCGTAGGACCCCCGTTATATGATGATGATGATGAATACAATATATATTTTAATTATTGATGAATTGTATTAAATTTTATTAAAAAAGTTTATGGATTTCAAGAATTCTATTAAGTCAGCTACGTATTTAGATTCTCCTAGAAGTTCTTTTAATATTTTAGGAATGTGGTGATATAGCCCTTTAACTGAGTATATTGGAAGGTCAATCAAAATGTGCTTCACTCACTTTCACTTTAAATTTACAAACAAAACACACAGATTCCTGTTCTCTTTTCAACAAGTATTCATGTGTCGTAGAAGTGTGTCCTAATCTAAGACGTGTTATTCGGAATCGATGTTGTCGCTTTGAAGGACAGAAGTTCCATGAAGGACGGAAGATTTTATTTCTATCAATTTAGTAGTGGTTCTATTCCATTGGTTTTGCCAAACATCGTGCAAATTTTGATTTTAAGTAAGGTTTTAAATCTAAATCATTGTTAGATTTTCCACTAATGCGGCTGTATTGGTTACTGCTGACCTAGCTAGACTATCTGCCTTCTCGTTACCATCTATTCCAACGTGTGACGGTACCCAGAGGAACTCTACTGTCAAATTGTTTTGGTATATACGGTATAAAATTAACTTATTCTGCTGTAATGTTGGTCTGGGAAATTGATGTCAGACAACTAAGTGAATCAGATATTATAAGAGATTTGGGAAGTTTTTTTCTAGAATAAAAGTTAGGGCCTTATTGATGGCAAATGGTTCTAAAAATAAAAAATTATCAAAGTGAACTGCCGGATAGCGATCACCGCAAAATTCGCTTTTCACTCAAAATGAACGATATGTAGGAAATTCGTAATATCAAATGCGTCTAAACAAGAAACATGTGACTCAAGGAATAATTTTGTTAAAATTAAAAGAGGGAATTTCATTACATTGGCAAAACCAGTTTATAATTCCTTCATAACATAGATTTCAAATTTAAAAAAGAGGTTAACAGAAAAGAGCTTTGTGAAAAAAGTTCTGTTTTACACAAGTTAGGTTTATCAGAAAATATACCAAATTTAAAAAGGAATTGGTAATTTTTATATATTTAGACGAAAAATGGATATGTTCTTAAGGTGCAACCAAGAGGATATAATAAGATAAAAAAGTAAAATTATGAAACTTACTGGTGAGCTGAAACCGTATATAACTCTGCTTGCATATAGATAACGGGCTATATAGAAGGTGCTGAAAATGGTAATATGAACACAGAAATGTAAAATGGTTGCGTGAAAAACTGCTCTCTAGATTAAGTGACCCAGCATCAGAGGGTCATTTAAACCTCCCTAGGAGGTCCCTGCCCAGCAGGGAACAGTTTAACTTCTTCTTCTTTAAGTCTTCATCTTCTATCGAAGTTTGGAAATCATCATGGCTATGCGGACTCTGTTGACTGCCGCTCTAAAAAGTTCTGCACTACTGCATTCAAACCATTCCCTTAAGTTCTTAAGCCAGGATATTCTTCGTCTTCCCACATTTCGCTTTCCTCGGATTTTGCCTTGCATAATAAGTTGTAATAATGCGTATTTTTGCCCTCTCATCACATGTCCTAAGTACTCAAGTTTTCGTCTTTTAATAGTTAATATTATTTCCGCCTTATTTTCTATTCTCCTAGTTACTTGCATGTTTGATATTCTTTGAATCCATGATATTCATAGGATTCTTCTGTAACACCAAAATTCAAAGGCGGCCAACTTTTTCAGATGAACTTGTTTTAGTATCCAGCTTCCAAATCATATAAAAAGAGTAGAGAACACGTAACATCGAATATATCCCTACAAGAAAGAAACTTTTTAAGTTTAATAAATGATGTACGTGCTATTTCAATACGTGTCTTAATTTCTTTGGTTTGTCTACATCTGATGTTATCAATGTTCCTAAGTATTTATAGTTATTGACACTCTCAATTGCAGTATCTTCAATAGTCAATTGGATATTTGCATGTGCAGATTTAGTCAAGATCATGCATTTAGTTTTCTTTAAATTTATCTTCAGTCCGTACTCATGGCAGCGTTTATTAAGGCGTTGCATTACGTTCTGTAAATCATTGTTGTTATCCGTAACTATTACTGTATCGGCTGCAAAACGTAAGTTATTCAAAACTTCTCCATTGATAGATATACCTTCTATTGAGTCTGACAGCGCTTCTTGAAATACCGCTTCACTGTAGACATTGAAAAGTAATGGGGACAGCATGTAACCCTGGCGGACTCCTCTCTGTATTTTGATATTTTCAGTGTACTAGCTGTCAACTCTTACCTTGGCAGTTTGATTCCAATATAAATTAGATATAATTTTTAGATCACGACTGTCAATATTTTTGCTTTTTAAATATATCTACAAGTTTTTTTATGTTGAACTTTATCAAATGCCTTTTCAAAGTCTACAAAACATAAGTACATATCCTGATTCATGTCCATTCATCTTTGAGCCAGCACATTCAAGCCGAACAAAGCATCTCTTGTACTCATACCATTTCTAAAGCCCAATTGTGTGTCACTAATCTCATATTCAAGAGTTTTAACAATTCTGCTGTGAATTATTTTCAAACATGTTTTAAGTATGTGACTCATTAAAGCTATTGTTCTGTGGTCTGAGCAAGTTGCTGAACTTGGTTTTTTTGGGAAATGCTACAAAGGTTGATTGCAGCCATTGCTGGGGATTGTGGCAGTCTGATATATTAGATTAAAGAGTTCAACCATTACATCAATAACATCTTAATCGATGAGTTTTAATAAATCGATGGGCACCTTATCTGGTCCAGTAGCTTTACCCTCTTTAAAAGTTTAACAAATACGACTAATTTATCATATCACATACATTGTGATTTTATACAAAATAGAATAATATGATTGATTGCTTGATTGATAAGTGAATGGTATTGACTGAACTGAATTCATAATGATAATTCCTTATTCAAACGGGTATAAATTCTTATAATTATTACTGTTAAATCTTTTATTGTACATGAGATGATTATAAACATACTTCTCCTCTATTTAATTAAAATTTAGCTTGGTTTAGGACTTGTTAGAAAGTCTCACAAAATTAAGCTGATTGTTGAATCAATTAAGGAAACACAATAAATTCAACTTTTTTTTAATTTCTTAAAGAAATTTAATTCTAATTTTTTTTAGGAATCCCACACCATCAAGAGACTCTAAATTATTAAATCTTGTATGGCCAACTGTAAAACCATCTAGCATCAACTACGTTAACATAAATAAAAAGTTTAAAATATATTCAAATCCAAGGCAATACCTTCATATTAAGAATATCCTTCTAAAATATTTACAGCAACCTAGGATAGTTTACTGATGTATACAAACTTTTGCAAATAAAATACTCCTGCATTTTTAAGGATTATATTTTATTTAATATTTTTTTAACTCAGTAAGCATAAGCTTACTGCGTTAGATTCCACCTGTATCGAAGGTGGTTTGAACATAGATTTTGGAAAGACTCAGCTAATCTGTAACCACCACCATCATTAATCTAACCACCATCATCATTAATGTAATCTTCATAAACTACTACTAATGAGTTACTTTCGAAATGTAAAAACGACGTTGAAGAAACTATATTAAAAGAGCCAATCACTCAAGCTCAAATAAGCGACGATCCATTTGCAAATTCAGCAGTGACGACCATGATTATATTTCTTCCGATGATAGTGAAAATATGCAAGAAAATCAAGCAGATATTCAGCCTAAAATCAAAACAAGGAAAAGAAAGAAACAGATCGGCACTTGTAGAAGAAACCTTATTAAATCTTCCAGAAATATTGGAATCAAATACATGAACTGGAAAGGGAATTTTCAGAACAAAAGAGATATTAACCGCTTGTCGCAACTATTTAAAGAAATTTTCAGAAGAGGATCGCATGTAGTATTTAAAAAGACTGGGATGAGCGACAGCTAGACAACGTTTTATTTCTAAGCACATGAGAGTTCAGGACAAGCAACGTTGCCGCCAAATATCAAAACTACCGGCAGGTGAAGGAATACCTAGTAAAAGAAAAATACTTATACGTACAGCCTAACATATAACGAAAACAAAGTGCATCATGTAAAACTTTTTTTCTTAACACGTTAAGTATAAGTGGACAGATGCTGGAGACTGTATTCCAGAAGATGGGAAGTTCTGGTGTAATAGCTGAAGATAAAAGGGGCAGAGCATGTAAAAATTCTCAGCAGAATGAATTGATTAAGAATTCGGTGAGGAATCACATAAATTCCTTTTAAACGGTTGAGAGTCATTACTGCAGAAAGTCTACTGCACGAAAATATTTATCATCTTCTCTAAACATTTCAAAAATGTATACGCTTTATAAAAATTTTTTCAAAGAAAGTCACATTCCTGAGCCAGTTACAGAAAGTATTTATCGACAGATTTTCAACACAGAAATTAACCTTTCATTTTTCCAACCCAAAAAAGATTTGTGCGATACCTGCCACAAGTATGCAAATTTGTCTATAGAGAAAAGAGCTGAGATGGAAAAGTAGTACATTTTGCATCTTCAAAAGAGGGATTTGTCTCGAGACCTAAAAAATAACGATAAAGAATTGGCATTAACACAAAAAACTTTATGAGCTGCTGTTTTTGACTTACAACAAATTCTTTCAGTTCGCCAATCAAATGTAGATTTGGCATACTATAAACTAAAATTATTCACTTATAACTTTACCGTTTTTAATTTGGCAACTAAAGAATGTCAGTTTTATATGTGGTATGAGTCCATTGCAAAAAGAGGCTCATCTGAAAAAGGAAGTTGTTTTATTACTCTATGTTCAAAGTCAGGTGAAGAATGGTGCAAAGAGTTTTCCTTTTATTCGGACAACTGCGCTGGACAGAATCGTAACAAATACGTATTTGCTTTATATAATTATCTGTCACAAAAATATTCTATAACCATTCGCCATACATTTCTTGAACCAGGCAATACACAATCTGAAGGTGATAGCGTCCATAGTGTTATTGAGAAGGCTATTGCCATGGTATATTGTACACGAGTTATCCCAAATGAGTATATGATCATAAAAGATATTCAGGAAAAAACAGCAATAAAATTTTGGCAAAGATGAAAACAATGATAAAGTTTACACGAATTAATTTAAAATAGTCAAATTCGACCCGTATGTCTCAAAAATTATGTTTTTTTTAAAATTGCATAATATAATGAGGCTTTTAGAAAAGTATATTTATTAGAAAAAGGTAGAAAAAGAAATAAGTTAATCATTGAAGATGTTCAGTTTAAATGTCTTTGCAATAATAAAATACCTCTTACAAAAAAAAGTATGACCCTTTAATGTATCTTTTTAAAATAAAGTAATAACATCACCATACTATGATTTTTTTAAAGCTTTACCATTTACACTACAATTTGATAAAGAAGACGAGGAGAATGATTAAACTTTTGTTTTTATTTTTTATTTAATTTTTTGTGTTATGTTATGTTTGCTCTATGGACAAGTTAAAAACTTATGTTTTCTTACTGGGTTCCTTCTATGTTTACCAATGTTTTTCTACTAGCATAATATGTCTCACGAATTTGAAGTTTTATTTTTATGTTATTGAAGTTTCAGGGTTTAACATATTCGTGATATGTTTTTTTCAGTTCCTAGTATATTTTTTAGGCTTTAAGAACAATATGCTTTATAAAACCTAAACATAATATATATTTTGTTAACAGCAGTTTTCGTGTTTTATTTAGAACTATTCTAAATCACATTTCGTTATTTATTGTAAGTCCACCAATAGGGACATACCTTAGATTTATTATTATTAATTATTGTATGTCCAATTTTTTTATATATAAGAACTTGATTTTATTATTATCAGCAATGATTTCGTACTCCCATTTTACTTCAGTTTTAACTCTTCTTCTTCTTCTTCTTCGTTTAGCCATTCACGTCCACATCTGAATATAAGCCTCTTCAAGTCTTCCTTTCCATTGTTTTTTATTGTACGCTACTTGTAGCCAATTTTTCCGGCAGTCCTTTTCAGATCATCTGTCCATCTCATAGGAGGTCTGCCTCTGGGTCTTTTGTGTTGGTATGGTCTCCAGGTTAAAATTGATCTGTGCCATTTGTTTAGATCGCTCCTAGCTACATGTCCAGCGTATTCCCATTTCAACTTTAATGATTTTTGCACCACATCGGTGACTTTGGTTTTCTGTCTTATCCATGTGTTTGTTTTCTTGTCCTTAAGTGATATACCTAGCATTGCTCTTTCCACCGCGTGTTGAGTGACTCTTAAGTATATTCATATTCTTTTTTGTGATTGTCGATGTTTGTGCCGCATAAGTTAATATCGGAATAATGCATGCATCAAAAACTTTAGATCTAAGATGTAATTGAATTTGTTGATTTCTGAGTATATAGTTCAGTTTACCGAATGCTGCCCAAGCTAACTTTCTTCTTCTTTTTATTTCTTCATTCTGAATTTCCCTATTTAGGATTATTTTTTGTCCCAAGTATATAATATATAGAAAGAAAAGTTGAAGAATATATTATATTCTTCAACTTTTTCTATAACTTTATCGTTTATTATTGTCACGGTGTCTTCGGAGTGCATGACTTTTGTTTTGTTTAAATTCATTTTCAGTCCTATTTTAGAAGATTCGGTATGTAGTTCTAAAAGCATGGTTTGCATTTCTTGTAGGTCAGTAGCTATCAGGATTATGTCATCTGCAAATCGTAGATTACTGAGGTAGCGGCCATTGATGTTTATTCCCATATATTTCCAATTTAAGTTTTTAAAAACGTCCTCCAAAACTAAGGTGTACAGTTTGGGTGATAAAGTATCTCCCTGTTTGACTCCCCTGTTTAATGATACAGGGTTCGTGTGTTCATTTTCATTTAGGTAGTATGTAGCTGTAGCTTGGTTCATAGTTTCTTTTATTAAGTTAATATATCTGCTGTCTATTCTACAATTTTGCATTGCGTTTATTACGGCCGTGTGTTCTATGGTATCGAAAGCTTTTTCGTAGTCTACAAATGCTAGGAAAACTGGAAATTTGTATTCGTTACATTTTTCTATTAATATTTTTGTGGTTAACAGGTGATCGGAAGTTGAATAGCCTTTTCTAAAACCTGCCTGTTCATATGGTTGGTATTCGTCTAATTTCCTTGTTAGTCGAGTATTTATGACTTTGGTGAGTATTTTAAACAGGTGTGACAGTAGGCTGATGGGTCTGTAGTTTTCCAATTTTCGACTATCACCTTTCTTGTGTAATAAGATTACTTTAGAGTTGTTCCAGCTCTTAGGGACTTTGCCTGATGTAAACAACTGTCCACAAGCTTAGTTACAATTGCAATTAGTTCCTTACCTCCTTCTAATATCATATCTGTGGTAATACTATCTTCTCCTGCAGCTTTATTTCTCTTTATGTTTTCCAATGCTGTAGTTACCTCTGAAATTGTTACTTTTGGCATTATTTCTGATCCAACATTTTTTATTAATTTCCGTGCTGGTCTCATCTCATCATCTTGTTGATGTGATCTGTAAAGTTCTGCGTAAAATTCTTCTATTCGTGTCAGTATGTTTTCTCTACTTGTGATTTCATTTTCGTCTTTTCCTATTAATGATATTATCTGACGTCGTCCTAGTGTCGGTCTGAGGCATTTCATACTCGTATTTTTTTTTCAATAGTTGTTGTTATTAATTTTCGTTTCTTTTCTTTTTGTTGTCTGATTCCTTTTCTAATCTGCTATTAAGTTCTCTATATTCGTCGGTTCCCCTTTTGTTAGATTTATTTAAGATCTTTCTTCTGTCAGCTTTGATCTGATCTTTATTTCAACTCTATTATTAAGGAATTATTATTACATTCAAAGAAAAAACAAAAAAATCTTCTCCTGTAAAATTTACTTTTGTGACTTACATACTTCTGCATTCAGGACGACAGTTCCTTAGGCAGGGTGATACTGTGTGTGTGTGTGCATCGCAAATACGAAATAATCAATTATTCATAAGCAAATATGACACAATTATTATGTTTGGCTTATTCTGTTATTAGCTATATGGGGTAGATAGTAGTTCACCTTTAATTCTTTTCATTTTTCACTCAATTTGGAAACAGCAAAAATACGTACTATCACTTTGCGGTTGGCGATACTACTGGTTCTGATGCAGTACTGCGGTCAGCGTTGGCAATGTTTTGCGTGCGTCGCTGTGCTCGACATACAGCTCATAGGAAACCATACGAACCAGTATTGGCGTCTGTAGTCTCTTACTGCGGTCTGCAGTTTGCAGTTTGCGGTCGTGTACGGAATTCTACTTTTATCAGTGTATATGTTATGGACCATATGATTAATTGGTCATTTTTCATAATGCCCGGGCTATATAAAAAATGCCCAATA